ATAATTATCATCTTTCACACAAGGGTTGCGCCATCTACTTGGCAGTATCTATTGGCCCAACCATCCTAATCATCTTCCACACAAGGGTTGTGCCATCTACTGGGCTATTATCGTGCGGTGTTCTGTTATTGGTTCAAGCGCAAGTGCAAGGAAAGGGAAAGGTGAAGGGAAAGGCAAGGGAAGGATAGAGAAAGGAGAAGTGAATGAAGGAAAGCACAGAAAGAGGAGAGGAGAGGGAACGGATAGGAAAGCAAAGGTGAGGAAACAAAAGAAAACTAAAAAGAAATACTGTAGATGGAAAGACTAGTCCAGAAAAGGAAGGGGAAGGGAAGGGAAGGGAAAGGCGAAGTGAACAGAATTAAGCAACAGGAGATGGAAAAAAAGGAACATGTTAGATACAAGAAGGACTGGAAAGGATAGGGAAATGAGTTGCGCCATCTATAGGCGCCACCATAAATGTCAATAGGGATGAGGTCCCAGTATAGTCGCTATACAGGTACATGCCATATACTTTTGGCTCAAGTGCCCAACCAGGTAAAAAGGAGCTTTAGCGCGCGAGCTTCATGCAGAACTAAGGGCTAGAACGGGGCCAGGGCACACCTTTCCATCCGTTCGCAGGTTATCAGCCGTATCCAGACTCCTTTGAGCTGGGTACGAGCTGCGGCCTTATACAACACCATCTAAACGCACACGCATCGGATAGATCAGTTACCCTCAGTCACTGAAGATGGACCAATCCGACGCCAGCACTGCATCTTTTGGGGCAGCTGCTGCGGCCGCAGATCGGATGAGCGCATCCCACAACTCTAGTCCAGGTACGATCGAAGCGGAGACTCTGACAGTGGTGAGAGAAGTTGCGACAGGTAGAACACGAAGTCGTTCCCCGTCAGCGCAATCGACACCACCGGGGGGGACACCGAGATCAGACCGTAGCCCTAGGGAGACAAGGAGGAGGACTGACACCGGAGCTGTGAGAGTGTTAGCATTGCAGGATGGGTCAGCTGTACCAGTGCCGTCGGACAGCGAAGCTGGAGATGGAGCAAGGGCAAGCACTGACAACCTACAACTAGCACGGGCCGATGGAGACCTGAATGCGAAGTGTGCGCAACTACTTGCCGAAGTGCATATGTTGAACCACCAAAACGCATGGATGGTCGAATGTGAGCAGAGACAGAACCAGATTATACAACACGAGACCGAAGTCCACGAAGTAGTGATGGCACACCTCGAAGAATGTTATGTCGAAGGATATGGAAATCAACGAAGAATCTCCCAACTTACAGAATCCAGAGACTGTTTGCTCTCAGCAGCACACGATTTGCAATACCAGATTGACACTGATCGTGTGGCAATGCGGGATCGTCTCACCCAGTTAGGGGAGTACGCTGATCGCAACAGCGCAGAGATGGTTAGTCAAGTTGTGAACATCGGCACGGAAGAGATCCAGGCTATATCGGCAGAAAGAGATCGAGCCGTAACCGAGGTCATGACTACAATCGCAGATGCTGAGAACGTCAAGGACCTGTGTAGACAGGAGTTGATTGGAATACAAAGGCAGAGTGCCAGAAACAAACACGAATATGCTGAAGAGATGAAGATGAAGGAAGCAATGTATGCAAGCAAGATCAAATGGTTATCAGAAGAGAATGAGGAGCTCAACAACCGATCTAATAATCAGGACAATTTCATCATGACCATCAGGGAGCAATTGAAGAAGGCGAACGAGGAGTTGACACAGGCGAGGATTCAAGGATCCGATCGATCGTCTCAACCATCCAACGCCGAACTCAAGAAAGCCGAAGTCAAGGTGAACATGTTGGAAGAAGACATTCTACGTAAAGAGAGGATGCTGAAACGTCTTCAGGAAGAATTGATCGAATCAAGCGCAAGTGAAGCACAATTGAAGGTCGCACTGAAGTTGAAACCACCAGACATGGGATCAGAACCCAACGTGGAGAACGAGATGATGACCAAACTTAGAGCGGAACTTGGACGTACCGAAAAGTCATTAAGGTCCGAGGAGAAAGAGGCAACGGAGTACTACGAAGGTATGATGCAGAACCAACAGGACATGATGGAATTCGAAGCGCATGCGGCACGGCTCAGAGATGAGAGGAATAAGTACCGGAGGAGGTACGAAGAGGAGCGCTTGAATGCAGAGAATGCAGCCGCAACCGAATATGGTGCCGCCTCATCCTCTAGCTCGGGTGGCTCCAAGATATCTCGGAAAGAACACGAGAAGATCAACATCCCTGCATGGCCCAAGATACACGACCTGGAGGTTTGGAAATCCCAGGTTGTAGCGGCAGTCGTGACGGCATCGGGCGACGAGAAACAAGAGGATTGGATCCAGTGGCTCTCGGATGCCTTCAGATCACCATATGACCCCTTTCTACTCGAGACATCAGGCGAAGCAAGATTCGCTAGCATAGACGCTAAGCTAGGTATCACCCTACACACGATCATCCACGCAGCAGGTGAGAGATCTCATGACGTACAACTGAAAGTGAGGCAGATGATGCAGAGACGTGCGAGAGGCGCAACTCCTGGGATGGTCAAGGGACGAGACATGTTAGCGTTGATCGTCGACAGTTTCCGGAGTGCCGACAACGTCGATGTGATGTATGCATCCAAGCACTTATTCGATCTAAAGTTCCCTGGGGATAATCAACTATCCAGATTCCTTGGACAATGGGATGAGATCATATCAGGTATGGATGCGGATGACATGCTTCCTGACAAAGCACTTCGCAACCTGCTTTGGGATAAGATTAAGGACTCCAAGGTTATGGCGTTAGACTTGTCCGTGTACGACAACATGTTGGATAAGGATCCGGATAAGACCTACCAGAAGTTACGAGAGATCATGGCGAAGTGGATACGGAAATCAATCGAGACCACAAACAAGAAAGAAAGGGAAAAAGCTTTTGGGAACCTCGTGAAAGCCACACCAGCGGCGGAGAAGAAGGACCCTAAAGCGAAACCCAAGAATACCAAGGCCGATCCACCGAAGCATGATGCCGCTCCAGTACTTCCTCAGGCTAATCCGAAGGACCACAACAAGAAGGACAAGAAGCAGGATCGTGGAAGATCAACCACGAAGAGCCCAAAGGGGGATCGTGGCAGGTCAGCGACTCCAGCAGATACGTCCAAGATAGGATGCGCTTTCCATTTCCATGGGAAAAACGGATGTTCTAGAGGAGACAAGTGCAAGTTTAGTCACCAAGAGAAGCACAAAAGTTCTGCTAAGAAACCAGAAAGCCTCAAGGGTGACAGATCAAAGAGTCCTGGTGGCAGGAGCAATAGCCCTAAGCCAATGAAGGATCAGGTCTGTTGGAATTGGCAGAAAGGATCGTGCAAATTCGGGGACAAATGTCGACGTCAGCATCACGCTGCCCCTGCTACAAAACAAGAGGCTAAAGGCAAAGCCAAGCCCAAACCGGCTGCGCCAGCCTTCATGCTTTGCGGAGACATCGAGAGTGATGACGAGGACGTACGACCCGCACTTCCCAACGTACAACAAGGTGAGTTGGCGCTTCGCTTTAAAATCAGATTCGATGACCAGGCGAATGTGACCACGTTCACCTGCGATCCTGGTAATGAGCTAAACACCCGTCCCCTCAGGAAGAAGAAGAATGAGGTGCAGAAGGTGGATACCGAGTTCATTTCGTCGTTGAGAGCCCTCAGAGTGAGCAATATAGCTGCACGAGTGGCACATGCCAAGGGTAAGATGATGGAGCTATTCTCTGCTGAACACATTGCCAAGGCATGGATACAAACCACTCAGGATGAAGGGATCGAGGTGAACGTCGACCTGTCTGATTTCAACACCAGTGAGGTAGTAAGGAAGGATTCTGTCAACTACACGATACCAGGAGACACGATGTTCATGGCTGTGGAGAGGTATGATGGACCACCGATACGCTTCATCATGGACAC